TCAGGGAGAATACAGTAAGTGTCTATCAGTGGCATTCGTGGTGCAGATTGCATACAGTGTACTCAATTTAAAAAAACAAAAAACATATTCAACAGAAACAGGCACATAAATGAAATAATATAAATGGATTTGTAGAGGATGTGTCAACCAAGGACCACATAACACCTTCCAAACACCTGGAGAGGACATGTCATTATATTGTCACAACACAAAGTAGCCGTTAAGTTAACAGTGGCACCTACTAACCATGTAAAGCATTTTTGATCTTTTGGTTTATGTGAGTGTTTACACAGGAAATCTTGAACATTGATTGCAGAAACTTTAAACAATAAAACAGACTTAGCACTCTCAACATTGAAACTCATTCTGTTCAACATGACTAAATCAAATGGCAGTATTATGCAATAGAAAACGGAAATACATCTTTTTCAGCCTGGCATTGGCAGAGCAGTCACAATGAAGAGAATGAAGAAAATGGCGAAAGTAACAGTGAAACACAAGGAAAGAAAAAGACAGAACTCGGCCATGGAAACACATACAGCTGGGTGGGGCACAACATGTTTGCAAGTGTGCACACCAATGCTAGAAGTTTACCTTCTGAAATATTCATAAACAATCTTTTTGACCATCGAAGCCGTAGTTGCTTAATGCCTTCCAAAACGGGAACTTTAACAAGGGACCAAAACAAAATCCCACGGACCGTATTTGCAAACAGACAGAAGCTCTAAAACCTGTACAACCTTGAATTCTCTATGTAGTCTACATCACACGATATTCTGGTGAGCCTATAACTCTAATGTACTGGGAATGGATCGAGGACCATTCAGCTGCCTGAGCTGAGCCCCGGACCAGCAGGGCTTGAAACTCACTTCGAATACCAAACCAAGGACGAGGTGCTTGAAGCGCACTCAACGATGAGATGCTTTTTTTTTACATCAATCTCCTCTCGGTGGACACTGGTATCTCTCATCCTCTATTTCTCGCAACACTTAAAAGTACTTCACTGACATCAGTTTGGAAGCTCTGGGTCTCTTTGATTGGTGCTCACGTAACTGTGTTGTGTGCTGTAACGAGCTGCCGACTAGCCAGCTGGATGACGCTAACTCCGTGGGTAAAGACAAATGCAAAGACCTGACCATCTAATAAAAACAACGACGAGCTACCTCTACACACTCATGCTGACACTGTGAGTGCGAGGAGTTTTCAGTTGCCTCTCGAAGGAAGACGTTTCTGCTCTACGACACGGCACAGTGTTCATAGTTATCAGGACTGGATTCAGGACAGACAATGACAGGAGGCTAAGGGGATATGTCAAGACTCTGTCCCCCCCTCGAGAGATAATCAAGTCATAATGCATGCGTTTTTTACACATCACGGTGAGGTGTTCACATTATCGTTATCTATATACTAGAATTTATTATGTTAGAAAGAAAACACCTACATCCACACACACCATCGACACACCTGAGTCCTTTAAACCACACACAAACTTTGGAATGGCAGTTGGTTCCATGCAAACCTGAAATCTCTCTTGATTGTTTGCCAGTTTAGTAACTTTTATAGTCTGTTATTGGTCTTTATCGGATAACCCGCACTTGTATTCCCATTTTTCTACTTAGGACAAGTGGAACAGAACAGCCTGTCCCAGAAAAAGCCTGCCATGGGACATCCAAGGCCTTTACGAATTTCGAGGCGTTGAAGATACTCTCGAGGTTCTCAGTTTGCCCTGCTACAATCATGTGACAACCCTTGTATTATTGCCAAAGAAAAAAAGCAAACTATGAGTACTAATAAAGCAGCCAAAGTTGCGGAATGGGGAAGCGGTTGTTTTACAACTGCTGCTGCTGCTGTTGCTGCTGCTGCTGCTACGGTAGTTGTGCAAATGATTCAAGGAGGAAAACATGGACTAACAACAAACAACCTTTGCGCAAATTCTGTAGTTTGGGAAGGTCTTCAATGATCACTGTTGAGTGAATGGTCTAGAAAATATACTGCTCGATGCATAACAAAGTAAAACTGTGACAGCGGTTAAAAACACTGGAATGGGAATGTAGGGCAGTAGTAGCAGAGAGATTTCATCAAACAAAACATAGTTCAGGGTGTACTTTGCAAACATACATTTTTCAATATTCACATTTTTTTAACTTTTCAAAACAAAATATAGCTCTTCTCTGTCATTATAATCTTTTTTAAAACATTAATTGCATATAACATTTTTTTAATTCATTTTATATATACTTTTTTTGTATCTCTAGCACCCTTGTCTTCAACTAAGGGCTTGCAGAAAAGACAGTCATGCAAACTAGTCATGCTGGTAAACAAAGTTACAAAAATGCATTATCTTTTTTTTTTTTTTTGTTTATCTCAGCGTCCGTCCTTCGTCGTCCCAACGTCTTCATAGGCGAGTCTTTCATTGCTCATTATCTTTAAAAAAAAAAACATTTTCCTGGTGCTTGTGGGGAAAATAACTTTGCCCGCTCCTCATAACAACATATTAACTTCCCATCTTTTTTCCAGGCCGTTGACTCCATTTCATGATGCCAAATCTTCTATTAACACTTGCATCTGATTTTTTTTTGTCTTCCTTTCTGGACCTTTTCTGCTCAGAAACTTCCTCCGAAGCAACGGATAGGTGATTTGTTTATCAAAATATAGATTTGTTCTCTTTGTACACTTCCACATGTGCTCTACTCTTTGTCCATTTCGTCTCATTTTCCCCTTTGCTTAAGGGCTCCCCTGATGGGCCATCCTTATCTTGACATCGACTTGGCAGTCGTTGGCAGCAAGAGGGACAAGAGAGAGATGGGGCAGTATTAAACTCTAGATTGTTGTGCCTTATTGGCAGTGTCAGCCTTTGTTTAAGGAGAAGCAGGTATCTGATTGGTCCCTTTCATCAGAATTTCCAGCTAATGTCCAGCTTTATGTGACGTAAAAGTGTCCTTGTGACAAGGGTCTCCTTTACGTTTAAATTTAGGCAAGCCAATATCCCTCGATATCGAAGAAAGACTGAGATTGTCTCTTAGACTTTTGTCTCCTTGGGTCAGTCTTTTTGCTCCTCCTGTCTCACTGTGTCAGTCAGACATGGGGAAATACATGTAATAGTGAAATGTGCATAAAGGAATGGGATGCTAGTGGCAGTTAAATTACTTTTAGAGGAATGTTTTTGTAATAAACAGAGGCATTGGGCAGTGTGAGGGCGAGTACAAGCTCATCCTCAATGGAATATTCCTCCTATTCTACTATACATGACATAAGGTCATTCAGCAAGTGCTTGCTATAGGACCTTTGGTTTTCCATATAGACTTTCGGGCAAGCACATGAGAGATAAAGAGAAGTATTTTCCCACCATTTCCTTATAGAGAATGCTTCAGGTAAATGCCACACGGCCGGTTTGAGCTAATGCTACATGTGCTTCATTTGATCAACTCCATCGCTTTATTTCAGTACTTGTGAAGAGGGCAGTGTTTCAGTCTGATAGAAGTGAATGGAAGACATAGGTTCAGTGGCAAACAAGCTATACAAGTGCTAAACTTGAACGAGGGGTTATAGTATGAGTGTTAGTAAATACTGACTTCTTATGCACTGTCTGTATTTAGTGCATTTTTTTGGAATGTAAAGTTTTAACAAGTAAGACCAATCTTTTGTCTCTCATGTACTATAGTATTTTTTTTCTTCACTGTAAAAGGAACCCAAGAGGAAAAATGACATCTATAAGATCCCTTGAATGCATAAATTCCTCTCTCTTCCAAGCGTTGATGGATTGAGTTATTCCCCAGCCAACAAATGCTACAATATGTTAGCAGAGATGCTACATTGTTCATTCAGTCCTTTGTGAAGACAAGTGTTTTTTCAGAAAGTTGCTCAGTTGTTGCTCAGCACTGTAGGCGGTGCGGAGTTGGTCATCATACATGATGGCGAGTATAGTGTTGACAGAGAAATGTCATCTGGAATGTGTAATCAGGAGTCCTTTTCTCCCCCAAAAGTGTGTCAGTGCAATGCTCAGTCAGTTTGCCGAGGAGAAAAAAAAGAAGTCAGTCAGGCAGTTTTCAAAAATGCGGTGCGGAGTTCCAAGAGGCTGCTTTGGTAACAACTTGAGGAGCAGACCATGTGATTTTTTAAATTCATGATTAACCTCTGGTGTCTCTCTTGTCCCCCCAAAGATCTCCTTTAAACTGTCCATCCGTGTCACACCTGTAGCTTACGTGGCTCCCGCCGCAAATTTGTGTTTACCGGTTACTGACTCCTCATTAGAGAGAAGGCGAATGCTAGAAACTTATCACTGTGAAGAAAAGAACAGAAAGCCATTAATATTAACTGCACAGAGATTACACAGACTTTGTAATTAATCATGATCGTGAATTTATAACTTCTAACATTACGTGGAAGCACTTGTATTGGTTTATAGAGGTTCTCAACGAATATAAACCAATCACATATTTGGAATTGGCCAATTACATTGTTTTCCATGTCATGGTGTTACTAACATTAGACAACAGGGATATAGTCACACTCAAAGAAATAACTCATTGGATTAACTCAATTTTATTGTTGGCAGGTTTTCCATCCAATAAATATATGTGGCACAAACTCAAACTAATGGCATCCATGCAGTATAATGTAAATGAGTTAGTCCAACTCAAATTTTTCAAATAGAGTTTAAGTAAAATGATAACATTACCTTTATGAATTTAAATAATGCTAGTCCACCTAAATCCTATTTAATTAATTGAAAATGAAATAATGAGGTTAAATATAATTTAATAAAAATGTGTTACACATGATAGAAAACATGGTTTAGTTTTTTTTATTTTTAAATTCACATTATTCAAAACAATCCTCCATTCAATACAGTCTTTTTAAAATGAATGAATTCACACTGAAAGATGAAAAACATTTCTGAAAGATAATACCATTTTTAAAATGGCAGAGAAATGGAACTCCTATAATTAACTTACAAATCTCCCTTTGCCAAATACAATGAATACAATATAACAGGGTATGCACTGCTCTTCTAACAGGACAATAACACATAACATAAAGAGTGCACTGCAAACACCAACATATGGAAATAGTGTTACAGTGTGTTGAAACAAATACAGAAAAGCACAGAACAAATGATTGATATAACGGCTCAATCTGCTCTGACTAGGAAACTCGTGAATAAAATGACAACAATGAACTCATGAGTCACTTCTTTTTCACATTTCAATCGAACAACTTGATCTTCAGACTTTCGATTTTACCATTCAGCTTGTGCCCATCCAGATTCATCACTACCTTCTGCATGAACTCGAAGGTGTGTTTGAGGTTGTCCGGAAAGCTCAAATCCAGGGCATAAATAAGTCCCAATAGCATGACAAACCCCACAATCACGCTGCCCAAGTTGTCCATGACTATATTGCCTTCGATGACAATTCCCACGTCCTCTGGCTGCCCATCCACATCTCTTTGAAGTGTGTATATGCCCATGACTGTGTTTGCCATGTCCCTCTTGGCATCTTCAGAGGCAGAGGCCTGAACAAAGACACAAACATACAACATATGTGTTAACTAAAACCTGAATTACTACATTTTATAGAAGCAGATTTACTTATGTGGCTCTCCTAATTGATCAAAACAGTTTTAGACTAACCCTCTGGTATCACTCAAATGTACTACCCTATTTGGCCACTCAGGATAAAAATGTCCACTTTCAAAAACTTGAATGATAAAATGATATGATAACAATATTATATTTAAATATTTTTCCCCCACACTTTTTGGGAAGTGTGGGAACATTTTTTAAATGGACAATTAGGGTAATTTGTACACAGTGTATTCGAGACCGATTAGAAAAATTGAAATTCCAAAAAGTATCTAGAAAAAACACAAAATCATTATAGCCAAATCTGATGTGAAAAATTACCAATTTGGACAAAAATGTCCGAGTGATACCAGAGAAGGTTAGGACCTCCAACACAGAACTAAATTAAGCTTGTAAGAAAATGTTTGCATAAATAAGTTATAAAGATATATTCCTGTATGTTCTGTTTGATTATCAACGTTATCTTATTTATTAATTCAGGTATTATTTGTTTACATCCCTACTTAATAATGTAATTTGTTGTTATTCCTGTAGTTAATTATGCATTTACCTACTTATTTCGATATGTATTTGATTATTTATTCTTTAATAATTTATTTCCTTGTTATGTGATTATGTAATTATTCCTTTAACAATTTAGTAATTGCTGCATTCACATACCTTTTTAAACATGAATCTATTGATTAATATATTTCAGCATTTATTTATTATTTTATTTATGTATTTATTCAATTATTTATAAGTTCTTACATATGTATTCATGTCCATATTTATTTATTCATTTATAGATGTATTTATATATAAATGTAAATATTTATTTCAGCATTCATTTATTATTTGTATTTATTTCCAGATATATTCATGTTTTAATTCACATTTGTATTTATCAATTGTATTCCTATGTTAATTTATAGATGTATTTATATCTGTATAAATGTATTAATTCACTTTTTTCTATATTTATTTTAACACTTGCCCGATGAAATTACTTCTGTATCTATTTATTATTATTTTTTATTTCTGTATTTATTCATTCTTACATATATTCATTCCTATATTAATGTATAGATTTATTTATTTCTGCATGTATTTATGATATGTGATAAGATATTTAGATGTAAGCAGGGATAGGGTTGTGTGCCATATAATTTTCTTATTATAAATGTAAGTAATGGTGGTTATAATTGTGGGTAACACTGTTAACCAATACATTGAAAACATATTGTGATAAACATACCTGATACTCCTTAAAAAAAGAGTCTGGATCCTCGTTGAGGTAGATCGCGATGCTTCGCAGGATGCACCCCCTCTTGATGTGGATGTTTTCAAACTAAAGCAGGGGCAATAAATCAAAGACAATTAAGCACAATGCATGTGCAACAGAGCAGGTAGTTTACAAAGTAGAGGGCTGTATCTGTCGTGTGTGTCCCTAAGCAGGACTCCTTACACCTACATTTCCACAATAAGCTATTGCCTTAAAAACACTATAAAAGCAGACAATTTCTTAAATGTGTTCATATCAGCATGGACAAAAACAATACAGTGAAAAACGAGGTTCTCTGCATTTATACTAACCGAATCTGATATTGCAAGGGCTTCCTTGATTTTGTGGCCCTTTAGTCCTCCTTTGGTCTTGAAGATCTTCAAGAGCTTGTCTGAGAAGTGGTCCAGCTGCCACATGAACTTTGATTGAAGTGGTGATGTTGTGATCCTCAAAAACTCCGCATTCACCTTAAAAATATTATTAACAAGCACAATACAACCAATTGTTACTTGTTTATTAGAATCAAAACCATGCAAGGATGTAGACATGAATCACAAAAGACAATAATAAAAGACTGTCAACAAATACAAATATTTACTTACTTCACTCTGCTGAAACAGAGCAGGCCATCTGCATTTGAAGTCCCCTATCAAAGGCCTTTGCTCCACAATCTCAAGGCGTCTGTGGGAGAAGGTTTTTTCCATTTTTGCTTTTATCACCACTTCATTGTCACGCTTTTTCAGTTCTGACAATAAGGCAATTCTCTCGTTCTCCAAGCTTTCTGTGGTTTCGCCTTTTGGGTGCAGAGGAATGTAGTTTACTTCAGCTTTTCTTGGTTTTTTTATGTTTGCTGCAGCTTTGCCTTGGCCTGTTTTCTTGTGCTTTAAGGAGTTCACAAGGATTTCAGGATGTCCAAGACGGCCAAGCTTTGTACGATAGTTTTGCATTTTGTACTTAAGAGACTGTTTCCACCCCCCAAATCCTGTCTTGGATCCTAGCTGCCCCAAACAAGGGTGGGCCCTCGTCAACGCTGCAGCTACCTCTTCACACTGATAGTCTTTCGGATATTTTGTGAATTTGATCATTTCTTGGGCTAGGCCATCAAGAATGACTCCTTTCAGCTTTAGGCCAGGCTGGAAGTATGTACCAGTTGTCTCAAACTCTGCATTCTTTAGATGAAGCTCAAATTCAGCCTCGTAGGTGAGCTTAGGAACCACAAAAACTGTGGGCCAGGATAACAATTGTGAGGCCTGAGCTTCAGGGGATGGATGCGGGGTTGACGTATACACCATATCATCACTGCAGCATGAGGCTATTGATGATTCAGGGATTAGAGGCTCTGAGCTTCCAGTAATTGAGGTCTTATCAAATGAGTCAACTGTGTACAAAGTGATGGAGGGCTCAATATTTGACAATATAGGAGAGTAAATTACTTTCAGTGTGCTTTTATCCTGAATTTCAGACACTGATGTAAGATTCATGAACTCGTTAAAGTCAACATCCATGTATTGCAGACGGAAGTCCTCTTTCAATTGAAGAGATGTCTTGACAAATGTGTGCAGTTCTTCAACTGTTGCTGGGATTCCCGAATCCAGGGTCAGTTTTCTAGAGTCAGACTGGTCGGCAAAGATGATGCGCAGAAGCGCCCGACCTGCCATTATGGAACACCTTTTAATCTAGAGCAGAAACAAGGTGAAAGAAACACATTAGGATTATATCAAAGATGAACATAAAAATGGTTTTACAGTTTTTGTCAGAGCCTGCTATCCAGAGCTCAGACTATTTAGGTTTAAAAATGATACTCACCTTTAACAATGATGAATCTTTTCAACATTACCATGCGCAAACTCCCAACCATGTAGTCAACAAGGGGATAGGGGTCTACCAAGTCAGCAAGCTCAATAACGGCAACCTCTGTATTGGGCGAGGCAGACAGCTCAAAAGCACCATAATGCTCTCTGTACCAAGCACATGCGTCTTTTACCAGAAAACACAACTTCTCCTTAACAATGCAAAGTTTAATGATCTCATGGAATTTAGGCAGTCCATCTGCAGATCCGTGTACAATAATCATCCCCTCGCAGTAACGTATACCCAAGCTAGACACATTGTTTGCCATATGAACCTCAGTCACATCTGGGAAACTTTGTTTCAGTGTAGACACGACTCCCTCATTAAGGACATCAACAGGCAGGATTGAGACATGTGTGACCTCCAAGGATGACTTCTTGACACTGGAGGAATGTGTGTGATAGGCAAGCATGAACTGGTGTTTAGTAGCTAGTGAACGAGGTATGTTCTTAAAGCAATTGGTGTGACGAGCAACCTGCTTGAAGAAGCTATGTTTAGCCTCAAATCTCATTGTCCACAGTACAATTAGAGGCCCGAAGCAACGAATCATTTGCGGATAGTGCTCTAAAAAGTGATGTTTTGGTAAGAGCTTTACATGTGGAAAGAGTTCAAGATAGCGCTGCCTATGATCATAGATCTTGGCTTCAAGATAAGCAATGGTCTCATCTGTGTGAACAGGGGCCACAACCAACTCAACTATGTCCTTAAGATCTAGAATTAGCTGCCACGCTGGTTCATCTTCTGGTAAAATGTGCCCAATCACAAAGGGAAGCAGTCTTATTAAGGTCCAGTTTTCATGCGCATTGCCACCTATTGTGTTTCTAGATGTGAAAGAGCGTGGTATGGCATGGGGGCGATTGGTTCTGTCCCCCCATTTGTACGGAAATGTCTGAATCAATGTGTTGAGCCTTTCAAAAGTGAAGTATTTTTTGGAGATCAACAAACTCATACAACGAGCCAGTTCAACTGGTACAACACCTTCAAAAAGGTCGTGCACAATGTCAGGAGGATAACCAGTAGTTACATGAAAATGGGAAAGGTGCTCTGTTAAAACACACTGCTTTTTTACACCACAGCAAATAGTTGCATTCTCCTGAGCAGACTGGACATGAACATCATGGATGTCTCTTGTTCTCAGTTGGAAAGCACCTGACTGGACATCCTTAGTCTGAAAATCTGATTTGACTCCAATACAAAACCTGCATACTGACCCAGCTGAAAAACTCTCAACAAATCCCCCGAGCCCATGGGCTCCAAGATTGTCAGCTATAACACACTGGACAGAACCTTTAACAAACTGACCAAGCTGAGATATAAATACACCGTGCTGTTCTAATATGCTTAAGTCTTGCAAGAGAGGCTCCAACACTTTTCCATAGCCATAGGTCTTAACATCATCAGATTTGCATAGAACAGCTAAATAGATTGAGTTTAGTGTTGAATGGGAACCTGGTGGCAAATTACCCAAAACCCAATATACACCACAAAGTTTGTGTGTCTTTCGAGATGTCCCAAGAGGGTTACAAATCTCAAAATCATCAACATAAAGATTTACAGAGATTCTCAAACCTTCATCAGAAAAAAACGAATTCTGTTTATAGTACTCACCGTCTCTTACAGTTCTGTACTCTTGGGGAACAGCCAATAGCCGCTGTTGCGTTTCAATATGTTCAAGGACACCTTTATGAGAGAGCAAATGTTGCAAAGACTTTAACAGAGGGATATATTGAAATGTCCTATTCCTCTGGGCATCTAGTATGTACTCAACCGGCTCTAAAACACCAAAATGAGATGTATAGTACTGTGTACGTTTATATGCTGTAGCAAGAGGGCCATCCTTTGCAATAGCTGTGGCCAATGGACTAGAATTGCATAGAGCAGTGGAAAGCTCACCAACTACTGAATCTTCAACCTGTAGTTTATGGCTCTGTAATACATCAGAAACAATAGCTCTAGTGACAGGCAAAGATGATGTACTTAATATGTAGTGAAGTTCAGAAAGGACTTCATCAATAACTGTCTTTGGAATGTGAACAATATTTTCCAACTTCAATAAAATGCATGCAATTTTTTCTTCGATTAAATTTGGAAGGTGTATTTCTGAAGCATCACCACAACTTAGTGTTTCATATTCCTGGTCTATATCGACAGACTCCGTTGGACCAACTGCAGAACTGTGTGACTGATCCAACTCACCACTTGTACTGACAACATTGGCTATAAAGTCTTTAAGTGAATGTTGTCTGTGTTTCCTATTTTTGTGTGTGTTGAATGTACTGTAAATGTTAGTTTTAAATGTGCATCCTAGAAACATACATGGTACAGTTTCATTATGCCTGAGATGTCCATTAATATGTTGGAAGAAATCTTTTTCTGTTAAGTCTCTACGTGAGCACACATGACACTTAAATGTAGGTAATTCTACTGGCTTTGGTGTTAGCTGTTTAGCATGAGTTTTGTATGTGTGATTTAAAAGTTTACTCCATGTGTCAAACGAACATGGGCAATCAGTATATGGACATGGATAGCGACAACTGCCCCTTAAATGTGCATGTGTCTGCCGGAAATGTTTTAACAACAAATACCTGCTAGCTAGTTCCAAACTGCAGTGTTTGCACTGCCACATGCATAACCTGAAAAAGAGAAAAAAGAGAATTAGCAATTGACACTGAACAACTGACAATGTCACAGATCAGCTTATGCAAGTAATGTGAAAGTAGCCGTGTACTTACCATAAATAAGAGGTTGCCCCAAGATGCTTGTTAATGCTGATCAAACTGCAAAAGACAACATAAATATATTAGAGGTGTGATTAAAATGCTTATATATTTGAATTTTCACAGACAACACATAATTGCCTAAGATTGCACAACCCAAAAAAAAAAATGATAACAGATCACACTTTAAAATTAAGAGTCTAGTAGACATGTTTTATAAAGCAGGCCTACGTTTCTGCACAACTCTGGGTGCCTGCTTGTGAGTGAGGTAACCCATACAAGATTCACATATATATATTATCTCATTATTTATATTAAATATTTGGCAGTAAAAAACTAAACTCAACTGAACTCCTACAGAAACGAGTGGCTCCGCCTGTCCTCCTCTGCCTGCACTAAGGCCAGGAGAGAGATGGACAGACCTGCTGAGCTTTATGATAGAAAATGGCGGCGCTTACTCTTTGCATTTTTTGGTTGAATTTAAACTGAATTTCGGTGTACTGTGTTCAATGACAATAACGTTAAATCGAATGTAATATAATCTAATGATCTCCATTATCCAGTATTCAATGCTAACCGTATCTAGCAAGCTAGCTAACAAACCAGTTATCCAGCTAGCTAGCTTTACCTCGTGCACTTGAATTACTCTTTGCATTTTTTGGTTGAATTTAAACTGAATTTCGGTGTACTGTGTTCAATGACAATAACGTTAAATCGAATGTAATATAATCTAATGATCTCCATTATCCAGTATTCAATGCTAACCGTATCTAGCAAGCTAGCTAACAAACCAGTTATCCAGCTAGCTAGCTTTACCTCGTGCACTTGAATTACTCTTTGCATTTTTGGTTGAATTTAAACTGAATTTCGGTGTACTGTGTTCAATGACAATAACGTGACATCTAATTTAATATAATCTAATGATCTCTACTATCCAGTATTCAATGCTAACCATATCTAGCAAGCTAGCTAGCTTGCTGTTTAGACCCAACTAAAAACGGAGCAAAATATAACACGGTGGTTTCAAATATTCTTGTCGATATAATGAAAAGGCATTAGGCCTACTTGGAAACAGGGAACATTCTAAACTACTAGAAAAAACAAATACTTACCAAATAATAGACTTTCCACCGTCAGTTTCACACCGTCAGTGTTAGACAAAAGGCGGCAAATGACAGAACGGATCTTGTGCATGCGCAAAGGTGATGTGCAAAGGGGCGGTCCCAAATGAAAACAATTCATTTTGAGTTGCTCTGTCTTAAATACATTTAATAAGTGAATTGATTAATGTAATTTGTGTTACACTAATGAACTATACTTAGGTTTATTTCTTAAATAAAAATATTTAAGTAAAGTGAAACAATTATTAATGTGTCAAGTCTAAGAAGGGCTTGAATCGTTTTTTTGAGTGCAGGGATTACCATTACCTGTAAACTGCTGGTTAACTGTGCATGTCAGAATGAAGTGCACACATTTAAACTGTTAAGACATTTCTAATGCAGCTACAAAAACAGTCAACAAGCAGAAAGTTGGGACATCTTGAAAAACACAATTCAAGAAATGGCAACTGACAGTGTTAGAAAAACAATCGGTACACTGAATTAGACAAACTTCCAGCCAACTGACCAGCACCCCCCACTCTGCCAAACAGGAATGAATTAAGTGCAGATAACTTATAAAATCATGTGATAGGGAGAAGACAACCGGTTAATGTGTATGTGTGACTCAGTGTGTGTGTATGACTGTGTGCAATGTACAATTCATGGAAAACACATTTTTGACAGATGGACACATACACTACAAACATACTCGATGCTATTGAAGGACTTTTTCACATTCAAAAAAAAGTTACACATCAGTTTGACCTCATTTCAAGAGGCTTAACCTTTAGACTGAATCTACTTTATGCATCATGCAAACACAGGTGCAAATTCAAGAAGCCGTTATCCAACAACAGAAGTTGAGCAATTTGACGGCAAACAATTCCTGCATCACATGTGCTGGCATGATGCATTATTTACCAAGAGATTAAACACTGCTGTTGTGGGCTCAACAGCAAACATCAACCCAATATAAAACATTATTCTTTATTGCAGATGGATTATGTCTTCACTTGCTCTTCGTTTCACCCTCTTCCTCTGTCAATGTCCTCTGTATATCTGCAGTTTTCCTGAGAAAAGCTGTTAGCAAGACAAGTGCATATGTTCTCGCCTTATAGTGAATGTAAGGGATTTATTTCAATTAAAGTAAAAGCCCTTATACACACTACAAGCAACCGTGACTTACAGAAAAAAACAGCGGCTATTAAGCTTACCATGGATGCTAACCCAAAAAGCATAAACGTTGTAGTTGTATTGAAATAGTGTTATGTGATATGCCTCTTCGTGCAGATCTTTCTAAGAGTAACATGACCGTTGCCTGGTGTCAGATGCATAAAAGTGTGTCATTTCCCAAATATGTCAATATAAAAAGTTAACATATCTTCATGTCTAATTAAAAAAATCCTGTATTTGCCTTCTTCCGTGTCACAATGTAAAAACATTTGCTATTATTGGATACTCAAAATAGTTTTGTTTGGACACAAACCAGACTTTTTCTTTGTTTTTTTCCTGGCAGTATTCACATCCTGAGAGGTGCCAAGGAGCTTTGTCTTGTACAGCATATTATTCACTGGTGTTGTAAATCATAACATCTTATGGATGGATGATACTAGTAGTTAAAATAAATAGTCCAACTTCTTGGTGAACTTTTCTGATCAGTGCAATTTGAGGATTGATATCCCCAGCCTTACATTAGTTTGCTACAATCCATGATAATTACATAGCACTCAGTCATTACGTGTATATTTTGGGATGGATGGATATATTTGAAAGTGGATCAAACTGTATTTTTCTCCCCTGCGTTTTACAAATAAAAAGACTATAATAACTGTCATTTTTAAACTGCACATGTACCATGCTTTCGAGGTGCATTAGCAAACGCCTTTAAAATGTGCTTTTCATTTATGAACAATAGACTACAGTGCATTTGTCCTGTGTAGGACCAGCATGTGGAAGTAAACAAGCCATAACAAAGAATGCACTTAGATGTTTCCTTTGGTATTTCAACTGAATTAATAATAGCTTGCTTTAAATATCATGTGGACACAGTATAGTAAAATAATAAACAAACATACTCTCTTTTTGAAATACACTCCTAGTAAGTACGTATTCATAATCAGAAAGAAAGGTTAGGATCAAACTCTTCATATGATATCCAACGCTGTTAGAATAGGTTTTAAATCGTGCTCACAAAATGTACATAGATATATTAATTCCGTATGACTTTAATGTATTCACATGTGTAGATACAGATGTACATATTCAATAATAACCACTGACCTATTAATAAGCATTGCTTGGAAGGTTTAGCTAGTTAAATCTAGCTAGTTCGAATGAACTCCTAAATTGACATCAGAGCCTATGGTGGCCTCATAGAGGCACTTACAACATCTGCCTGTTTTGTTTACTCAAACAATGTGTATGTCAGAGTTTCCTATGTCATTTGCATTGGCCACATTTATGTGATTTGACTCTTTAAGCTCAATAGAACCACATTGATGACATTCTTCAGATAGATGTTGATACAATACAAAGCAAATATTAACAAACACAGTAGATCTATATCCATAAATGTTAAAGTTGTGTGTGCATGTTATTTAACTCACCCATTCTCAGTCAATTGTGGCATTAAAGAAAAGCATCTAACTGCAGATATATAACAAGGAAAGACATTTTCCTTCAGTGCAGAAAAATGTACATTCCAAATAAAGTGTTACCAGTATAAGTCAGAGTATCGCAACATCCACATTGTGGAGTAATTGTAACGTTATACAGTATGCATGTGCGCTTAAAAGGTTTCATGAGGTTTTGTGCACTGACAGAAGTGACGTTAGCAATAATGACGGACCAAGATTCAGGTTTGCTGATGTGGACTAAGATGAGTTTTGAGTGTGAACCCAGGTCAATCGACATGTGTCATTGTACACATTACATGTTCACATGAATTAAAAATGTACTATCCCAGAGTTTCCCTACCTTTGCTCAGTTCAGGGTAACAACATACATGTATGAGCTAAAAACGCTCAGATTCACTGGAGAAACAAGACCCTGCATGCTGTTTTAGATATCTTCAGACGACACTAAATTATTGAATTTCTTCGACATCATAATGGTGAAATGTAACAGTATTGAGAGTAAGCATGACTGTATGCAATATGAGTCTGAAAATATGTGCAGTGGCCTTCAAAAACCCGTATCCGACTACTAACAGTGACTGATCGATATGTGAATGAGACAAAACAACTTTTACAAACATCTCAAACTCCAGTCAACAGATACAAGCAAAACATTCAAGTGATGTCATAACTATCACCCTGAATCATAATACTGCATATCTAAGTTCTCAAAGTTGAGGGGTCTGGAAGCACGTTGATTTTTAGACAAAATGGGAATGGGGAATATAGATTATTTATGACTCTAAACACGCAACTCCTCTCCCTTTACATCTGCAGAAGTTTCGTTCGCCTCGTGAAATCAGTCCTACTACATTTCTGTTTTTTAAGGAACGAGTTAAATACAACATTGCATCTTTTTCTGACAAATGTTTTTCTAGACAATCAGTGGTACAGAAAGTTCATTCCTTACAATGAAATACACAATACCAGTTCAAGTGAAAAAAATATAAAACTGTTACAAAACGTAAACAATTAAAAATGGCAGTCACAACATCAAAACGTTTACAGGACCATTAAGACCACATTGATTTGAAATAAAACAAGACAAAAGGCTCATGATGTCATTGTAATACTTCTCAGAACAGATACATCAAAGTAGACTGCCTTCAAAGTCTGTGCAAGATTAAAAATAGATCTGCATATTTACATATGTATGTGCACAGCATGGTTTCCAGCATTAAAACAATATCGCATGTTTATTGCATAAGTGAATGTCTTTTTTCTGCTCAACTTTAAACATAAGTTCAACTTATTTCATGGGAAGATGGCAATCCGAGGGTGGAGCTCAGTTATAAAAATAAAAGCTATACATTGCCTAATAAAATATATACTTAGGGGAATGGTATTTTGTAACCACTGTGATGTTTTTTTTTAAAGATAACAAATATATTACGTTTTACTTTATTATTTTTTAGACAAAATAAACCAAAGAAATGGAAAATATATATAAAATAAAACAGATGAAGAAGCAAAACAGATATATTTTTTTAATTTAGATACGTGTGATCGGGTATTTCTCACTTGTTAAATCTATACGGTGTGCGTATTATCACTGAATGTTAGTAAAGTGCTTGTATTTGTTCTGAGTATATCATTAATTATGTAGTCACTTGCATATGACTTTATAAGTATATTTGTTCTACTTCGTTTATTGCGATAAGTAGCTTTTTGAATACATTGCACTTAGATTTCTTTGAAAAATTGTAGGCCTACATACAGTATAAGTACATTTACAGGAGTGTTCTGATTAGCATTTCTTCAAGGGTCGACATTTACTATCATTAAATAGATTATTAACCGAGGATGTGATGGCTTAATTGTGCTATTTTGCCAAAGACACTGGCAGCTCTACTCGTGAGGTCCTCAGCTGCAACAGAATATATCATTTACTCCAGTTTCAAACACTAATAACGCACTAAACTATGCCTTATTACTCCTCAATTTCCTTTATCAGTGAAGAACAAACTGGGCTGATAATCTTTTATTGGCTAGTTAAGTCGTGTGGTTTTGCTGACAAACAGCATTGCATATAAGCAAGGTATGTGGTCAGAAAACTATTGCACATAAACAAAGAAAAGGCTTCTTTTAGTGTTTTAACCCTAACTAAACCTGTCCCGTTCCCAACAACTAACCCTAACTCGTGGTCCATCTATATATCCGCCTATATATTATTGAGAAAAATAAATAAAACATTTAAGTAATGTATTGTTTATATATATTTTTTTAGGGGCATATCATGGAATAAGTATTTTCATTTTGGAATATGATTGTTATAATTGCATATGATGCATAAGATGATGATATAAAAAGGTATTAGATAACATGCGTGCAACTGTTAAAGGAAGTGGCTGAATAGACCTTTACCTGTACACTGGAAGCAATTGCATATATGGAATGTAAAAAATAAATTATAATTTAGGGCTACATAATTTTGATAGTTCTTATGGTACAATATTTCTTTTTATTTAAGCTCAGTTTTTCTTCCTTTTCTCTTTGATATTTCGCTTTGCTGTGTAAAATAGCAACATAAAGTGATGTTACGATGATGAGATAGAAAATTAAATGACTGAGACCTGTAGAAGCCGAGTCTGTCTTTTAGAGAGACTTACCAAATTGATGTCTACACTGTACAAACATCAATATTCACATAAGACAGAAAGTAGAAAACTTTTAAACATCAATCTATAAATGTTTTTTTTTCTTTGGCTAAATAAAGTTTTTTATTTCTCTGGACAGTGTTTGCTTTAAGTTTGGTCCAGAACATTTCAAAATTAATCCTACATTTAAAAATGTAACTGTGCACGTATTATTATTTTTTAACTCATACTGTACTATTTTACTTACTAACCGATCCAAGTATCTATTTTAGCATATCTTCTAATAATTCAAAATATCAATGTAGCCTTGAAGCTAGAATTTGTACTTGACCCCATCAGCTACCCTGATCATCATAAACCAAAAGATTCACAAGACAAGGGGTCTCTCTTTCTACATTCAACTTCCTCTTTTCTTATTGCTATCTTTATGCACAGTGTACAATCCAAATGGAGGCGATCAGTCAGCAGCTAATCCTCCGCTAGCATCCAATCGTTAACATCCTTTTTTTTTGTGCTACAAAATGGAGGGGATTGGGGAGCGACAGCGGCGCAGGGGTCCCGGAGCCTCGTAGTTTTCAAAAGGGGGGCTAGTGATGGGAGCGAGCCGCAGTGAAGACCCCGCCATTCCCGATATGTTAGAAAGACTGCGAGATTTCTCGTAGCCTGTTGCAATTTTGATTCATTAGTTTATATTTTGTGTTTTGAAATGATAAGCAAATAAAATACAATAAATAATGGTTAAAGGTTTGATCATTTTGACAGATTTTAAATATATGTTTTTTTAAGGTTACATAGTATTGAAACATGAACATGAGGTTTAAGATGTTATCAGAAGAAAAATAAGAAATTGTAAGGAAGCACATAAGTGGAGAGAATAAATCAAGGATAAGAAAATGTTATGACAACATAAAGACATATAAAGGACAGACAAGGACACACACAGACAAGACAAGACAAAACAAGAAAATGCGAGTTATGATATGTCTTTTTTTTCCAAAACAGAAAAGCAAAATATTATTTGATAGTAACAGATTTAACACCTTAAACTGGCTTGTTGAATAAAGCACCCGACATTTACAACATGAAGCATAATGTGCAATGTGCAGGTGATTTAGACATCGTTTTTTTTGCCACACTTATAGAGTAAAACACAAACACGACAAGTAAATACTCTGATATCACTGATACAGCGTAGTCGTTGACCACATGAAGCTTAAGGGGGAAAAGCTCAAGGATACAGCACCAATGAAGAACAAATGTGGAAGAACACTTTCCTTTGATTTTGCTTCAGAAACAGCCAGATTAGTGTGAGCTTTAGTTTCATTTAAACTTCAAATGACCAAAATAAAAATGTCCTCCCTGCAACATTTAAAAACACTTCCTATCCGTAGGTTTATCACCTTGTAATGTAGACATTTTGTTTACAGTGGGAAATGACACACGGTCCACTAAATACATGGTAATTTCACCATTTGACAAATTAATTTATCTAAAATATAACAGATTTTCCATTGTGTCCTTTCCCGCTGTATATGGGTGTAACACAGCATGCATATGTTAAACTCCCTCTGTAGGAAGCGTCCACAGAGGAGACAGTGTTGTGCTGACGGAGTGTTGTTGCATCAGGTGACGTTAAAAAAAGCACCATTGGTAGGAAGCAGTTACTCCGCCCTAACAATGGCGAACTGACCCAAAATGGATGGAGTTTCACAGTTTCTGTGAGGAACAAGAAACATTATGTTGTCAGCAATTCTGGAGAAGGATTGTTGATATTTGAACCCAAGATTGTCCATCCCTTTAACTCCAACTGCTTCTTTCTTTATGCAACATGCATGTGTACCAGACCTTTGTTTTACACAAAAAAAAGATTACTAGCTAACTATTAGCACATTTGACCAAAATTGTATGAGATTATAATTGCTGACTCCACTTTTAATAAAGTGCAGTTACACTATATTGCTTACAGATAAAGTTATATGTTTGTGAAACTCCAACCATCACTAGGCCACAGTTAGACAACAGAGAACACCCATTGGTACAGAATGACGCCCTTTGTGCCTTCCTGCAGTACTGAAAGAAAAAGTATATCGTGGTGCACCGTAGCTACCACTCTAGATTATGCATCATTTGAGCCAACTATAAATAAAAGTCCTTTTTTTATTCTGACTAACTCAGGCACATTAGTCTGATGGCAACTCAGTGAAATATTGATGATGCATTTTCACCGGGTTTCTCACAGATGTCTGAGAAGCTGTCTGGTGGGGCCTCAATCTCAAGTTTCAGTCCAAAAGTATTTTGTCCAAACCACCCAAATGTTTCCAGACAAATTGTCAGGTTGCATCAAATGGCAGCCATTGTTGTGATGCTCAATCAGCGTCGAGGAGCAACAACAGGAGGGACAGAAAAAACCCAACCAGTTTTTTTTATAGCAGAACTACAACAATGCTGCAATTCAATGCAGACCTTCTTTCTTTATTTTTAAAGGTAGTTATTGTAAATATGACATTAACATTATCTGGTAAACCTTCACCTAACAACCCAACTGAATAGCTAATTCAAGTTTTTATACTATTTATGATCTGCATTTCTTTTCAATAGCGTTTGAATGTATTGCATGCATTCAGTTATTAGCTCTCTTTATGTTATAGTTTTCATTGTTAATGGCGCACTTCACCATTGCTGTGCTGGCGTCACATTGCATTCACACGAAGAAGGGATTCACAGGAAGCAATGTACGCATGAAATCCATCTTAATTTCTTCTAATTTGAATATGTAGTTTACTGTATGCTCTATGTCACAGAGTCAGAGCTGAGCACTAATACATATTTTCTGCTAATGCAAAAAGACTTCTGCTCTTTTTCACAAAAAAATAATTTTAGATATATTACATTTCAAAGGATAAAGATATAACTATGATATAAAATAGACAACTTAAATGCTTATTTACTTGGTGTTTATTAATGTAACTGTTATAGTAATGCCCGAACAGCTCATATATGTTTTAATTCAGCTGAAATGATAAGTTAACGGGTATTAAACAATTCTTATGGTTTACCTCTGTGCTTCTTTGATTAATAATGACGAGTGCCCTACAGATTTGAAGCATTCATTTCGGGAATTATTAGAACTAAAGTTGGGAAGCCCGTTTTTGAAGTTACAACAAACGGATTTGATTTGACTTTGAAAGTCCTTTATATCTATTCTTTGTGCTAAAATTAGCGTGCAGAGCGAAGTGAGAAACAATGAAGGGAATGACACAGTGCGATCAACAGACTACAAACATGTTTCATATTCTTTAACCAAAATAAGATGATAAGGTGGTCAGGTTGGCAGTATTTCATTCTGTCACTTTTTTAAATGTATTTGAACCATTTAATTGGCTATTTTTAGTCTGAAAACAGAGCATTTAGAACACTTGTCAAGTGTGATATAAGTAAAATATGCACAAGAGAAATAAAGAGTCCCTATAAGTTGATCAGATGAAGGTGAAACTGATGAAAATGTAACAATAACATGGTTCTGATGAATTTAAGATGTACTCAAGTGACCCGTTTAGCTGGCTAATTAACACATTCTTTAAGACGGAGATTTTTTTCATGCAGGACAATAATAAAGCTGATAAAGTTAATCATGTCTGAGCCACTGCAGTCTGTCACGGTCTACCAGCTTCCTCCTCACGGTGCTAAGTACTGTATTTACAATATCAACAGGGCTTTGTGCTCTGGGATCCTCCACCAGGGGAAATACTGAGTGGGCCTGTCACTGTTCTTCAGTGGTGACATCATTCCTGCCCAAAGTCACACTTCATTTACACTACGGAGGCAGTATGTACCTACCTACAGTCACTCTTTAGTTACACTTGCACTGCAGTGGCGGCCTGGGGATGGGATGGAGAATGAGTGTTAATCACAGGAGGGAAATGTAATGGAGACACAGAGGAACAGAGGGAGGAGGAACTGCAAATATTCAAGGGAATGATCATGTAAAAATAAACTGAAAACTTCTATCTAGTATGTATGGAGAAGGCTGAGAGCTACTTGACTTCTCATATTACGTAATTCACATGTTCTATAGTTTCATGAGGGTGTGCTTGCTGTGGATATGCTGAGTGTTCAGGAGCTATTCTTGGCATCGCCATCGCCCCATACTGTTTCATTCTTACGTGGGATCAATTGCCTGTAAAAGATGGTGTGATCTCCTGTTATCCAATATTACATATCCATACAGTATGGATGTGTCTTTTGGGAAAACTAGAGGACATGCAACTGTATCCTTCATCCTCTTGTTAGTAGGTTATACATACCTACAGTATATGTGTCTGCTGCAATCATTAAAGCTCAAATCCACTTAATACTTCATATCTATATACACTTCTCAGGCTTATATATGAATATTGATGTATGTAGTCTACGTATACACTTTCTGTATTGTGTGTTTTTTCTCAGGCTCAGAAAAAAAGAATATTTGCAGATTGTTGTTAAGACATGCAAGACAATGTAGGAGAAGTTGTACAAACCAATTACAATGACAGAGAGGAGGACAGTGACTTGCTTTCACACATAAAAAGGATATGGAGTTAAACTTAGCATTCTTTATTTAGTTGTAGCCTGTTGCACTGAGCCACATAATAATGTCTTTAAAAGAAAGTGGCCGAGCACAATAATTGTGCCTGAGCTTAAGGCATAAACAACGATATGTTGTGACCAATAAGTAAATATTATAAAACTGTTAGTCCCATAAAATAATTACAGCCACAATTAATATCATGATTATGAAATGATTGGGTAATGGAGGGATGGAATGGGGATTGAGATCGAAGGAGCTTTTGCTAAATATAGCAGCTATTTTATTAATAGATTTAGTATTTGTTAAACCTTAACATAGCACATTTTGAGTATCATTTATGTGGGTTCATCCTATTCTTGAGGCAGATGGTTTGAATTTGGTTAGAAAAATACATTCATATTGTCTAAATAATCCTTGGAAATGTCCTAAAGAAGTGAGATTTGTGCCGTTTTTATGCTAATTAATTGTACCGTATTGTTGGCAATTTCCTTTATCAATCCAATTGAGAGAAGTGAGATAATAGGTGAAAGTAAAACTCAAAGCAGAATACAGGAAGAACAGAGGGGAAGTCAAAACATCAAACAACAAGACACAGTTGTAAAAAACTCAAAGACATTGAGAAAATAAAAAATAAAATACCAAAACAAACAGCAAAATAATGACTATTTCACAAATAAATATAACTAAATCCTAGACGCATTGAAAAGATAAACCATACACAACACAAAGCCCTACAAAACCATAAAACTCCACAGAAATACTTAATAAAAGATGTACACAACATGTTGGAAACAGAAGTAAATAAGCACAAAAGCTCAATAAATAAAAGTAAAAAACAACTTGTACACAAATATATTGAGGAACAGAGGAGAGGAGGGAGAGAGAGAGAGAGACAGAGTGAGATCCTTAAGGTCTCGAGGAGGGAGTGGGCAACCAGAGGGGAGATTGACCGTTTGACCTCAGTGAGACATGCATATTGCATTGGCGCAGGAAATCAAATGGCCAACAATCAAAGCGAAGAAACTTAAAAGCTTAAGCTGGCAAAGACATTTTATGCGTGTGTCTACGAAATAAATCACAATTGAAGCACACAAGAATTACATTCAGACAGCGTGAGAATCCCTCTTTAAACACAAGGAGAATGTTTGGGTCGACCATTTTGCTAATTTTCTAAATATTAAGAACTGTTTGGCTTCCCTTTAATTACAGATGTGTTGTAACCAATTGTTAGTTTGAGCCATTAAAATGTATGAATGTAGCCAAAGATGCATTTACACACACACCGGACAAGAGGATGTCGATCAAATGTTAGAAAATCAGGTTTCAGAGTGGTCAAACAGATCACATTTCTTTGGTATTTACTGTAAGCACCCATGCATAAGGCTCATAACATTATCGCAGTGTACAACCCTAAAGCTCCGTCTAGCAGCTTCAGCGCTGATTTTTTTTAAACTCCTGATTTGCTTTAAAGAGGGATTTTGTAGCACTTTAATCGCAGTAAATACATAAGAATCACTGAAACTGAAGCAATGTCAGGGACCTGTAAGTGTGACAGCTCGAAGCTTTCTTACCTTGGACAGCATGTATTTTCAAATCTGTCTTAGCATTTGTCTGATAATTAAGTGTTTCAGTCACCTAGTGCAGCTCATAATCCTTTTGATTTCTATCCAGGTGTATACATATACAAAAAGGTCCCGAACTTTGGACTACACTAGGCACTGAAAGTACATATATGTTCGAGGGAATAGTATCTCAGATCCATGACACGCTCAAAATACACTGTTTTTGGCTTGGTTCATAAAATAAAATGTTTAAAAGTTTGTGTTAAGCGTGCCATGTTTCAAGAGGTACTAACCCTTGACCCAGATGTGCCACTGACCCCAGTGACCTTTAGCCTTGGATGTATGATTGTCATAAAACACGGCACTGCGGGGGAAGCGATTAAGGCTCGCCAATTGATTTTACATACAATACGGCATATGTACATGTATCTATGCACACATTTAAGCACAAAATGTACTCAAGCACAGAATAAATAAGTGCCATAACTTGAGGAGTAACCTTTGCACAATGTACATATGTAAATATAACACTGTAGAACGAGTGTGTTTTTCAAGGCAAAACCTTTATAAATTGCAGTGAGTGCTTTTGTTTGCCAAGGTGGAGGTCCGTGGGGTAGGGAGTAACACGGATAAACACAGTAGAAGGGGAGAACAAAATTAAGCCACACACGACAACACAAACACAACACTCAGACGGCATTGAGAGGACAGAGACACAGTGTATAACACGTAAGAATGAAAAAGCCCACATACACACGCGTGATATGACACAACCTGAAGAGAGAGACAACAACAACACAGAGGCACATCAGACAACAACGTGACCCGCTGTTCCCGTTCAATCTTCTTCAGTGTTATGTTTTATTATTAGTTATTGACACAGGACATTTTCCCTGAAGCTGCTGGGTGTATTTGCACATGGACACATTACTGCACTATTATTTGTATGCAGGTTGTGCGCTCTCACACAGACACACATAAGTATACACATGTTTGTGCACACTTCTCATTGTGGGTGTATCACAGAGCAATCCCATTTTCTTTCAATTTTTTTTTTACATATTGCACATTGTTTATCGGATTGTTGCTGAGGTAGGATATAAGCGGTGTTCAGGTTTTATCGGATAAAAATGAGCCCTAAAATTCCCCCAAAACCTTTTCGTACAGATTTAAGCTCTAACTTACATTAGGTTAAACTGTTTGTGACATTCTCCAAATGTAAATCTGACAGCACACTCTCCACACTCTCAAGACTTTTCAAGGGTGACACTTCAAACCCCACTGAACATGTAGACACAACACTGTGGATGTGGTGGTGTATCTGTGATCTGACGTCATGCTTAGTGTGTGAAGCTACGTCTGTGTTGAAGTGCGTGCTGTACTGGTGTAGTAGTGTAAAACATGCTACAGTATGTGTTTGAGAGCCAGATTTAAAGTCTCCTATGTTTTCAGTCAAAAGTTGACAAAGCTACGGGCTCGTTTTTAAGTTGATCTTTTCTTCAGTGTTACCTCTGGTCTACGGTTTGATCCAGGAGGAGGTGGAGTTAGCATTGAGGTCCTGCGTTAACAGAGACCCTTCCATCTTATACCAATCGTCAGTCAGAGGGGAGTCTGGGCTGGGTGCCAGGGCTGCGGGCTCTAGTTTGTTGTCAACGAGGGGGTGTTGGAAGTTTGGAGGGAGTGTGAGGGAGTGTTTTGGTGCAGGTTGGCGGCAGTGGTGGTGATTGGATTGCAGTAGTAAATGAATAAAGGTGTCAGGTTTATCATGAGCACAAAGGTAATGCACATGGGGTAAAACAAACAAAAAGGTTAGGGGTTAGGGTGTAGCACAAAGGAAAAGAAGGAGGGGAATTGTGGGCATGGGATTTAATATTGGGCAGAGGAGTAGGGTGGTTCAGGAGGGAGGATGTGCACCAGGTTAGGGAGGGGAAGGAAAGGAGGGAGAGGGAGAGGGAAGGAAAGGAGGGAGAGGGAGAGGGAAGGAAAGGAGGGAGAGGGGAGGGTTGGGGGAAAATAAGGCAGGAGAGAGAGAGAGAAACAGAATTGACGAGAGAAAATTAATGCATGGTCAACTTACTGAGTCCAGAAGACAGAGAAAGATTTAGATTGTTCATGAATGAGCACGAATGAAGGGAACAGAATACACACACACTATGGAGAGATGGAAGACATGACTGAGTAGAAGAGAAACTAAAAGGAGAGAAGTAGAGGGACAGAAAATCTTGTCTGACTGATGAAATAAAATATGATACCACGCAGTGATGGAAACACAATCAACATGAATGTGAAGAGGTGGAAACAGTAGAAGCAGAGCAGAAGACGTGTGTATGTGTTGTGACTGCATGAAAGTGTGTGTATGCTGTAATGGAGAGCTATCAGTAATTGAGGCATCCAAAGTGTGCTTTTCTTCCAACCCACCTTCTCTAAATGTTTGCATCTTATATACAGTAGCCTGTATTAGCATCAGCTGCACTATGAATGTATATTATATACATGTTTTCAGTATGTGGTGCCTGGCATCTTGCTGTGTGGATCTGTTTACGTAAGATTTGCATGTTTTCGTATCTGTCTCCCGGTGTGAAACGTACCTTTCCGCACATTCCCATCTGTGGCACGGAATTCCCTGGTGTTGAGCAGGAAGCAGGCGCGGTCCTGCTGGTAGCGTTCCCGGGTCGGCCCTTGCCCAATGGGGCTCCTCTCGTCTGGGCTCAGCACCTGGTCGATGGTGGGACAGTCCTCGTTAGCCAGCGCGGCCGAGGCTGCGTCGCCGTTCTGCTTGGCATCTAGAGGACAGGTGGAAGAAAAAACACATACAGGATCTTCATATAGGAGTTTTATGGGAAAATCATACAGAAGAGCATAGTGTGTCTTACAGGATGCCACACAGTAAAAAACTCTGTTACCAATGAAAGTCCTGCATTTGAAGTCATCGCTTGAGTTAAAGTAAGTAACTATATTTAGCTAAATTTACTTTAAGCATTAAATGTAAAATGACCCAATGCAGAAAAATAAAAAACACACAACATTTTTTTTTTAAATAAATCAAAAGAAAATACATTTCAAACCAATACATTTTCTTATATTTGGCTAATTGGGTATTGGTCTTGTGTAAACTGTGGACTAACCTGTCATCAATGAGTATTTTCTAAATAATTTGTTAGGAAAATAGTAACAGCAACAATAATGTACACATTTGCTTGATTGTATATGTTTCCCATCACGCTAAATTGAATCTTTACTGTAGGTGTGTTATTACTGTAATTCAGCGTGTGTTCTATTGACAAAACAGTAACTTAAGCAATCACTACATGTGTTTACAGTAGGGCTGCACATTGGTAAATCATCAAGCATGTCTAGTGGTAATTAATGTCCATTAATGATTGGGAATGCTAACTGTAGTAACCCACACGTTCACAGAGGCCTTACTATAAAATATGTTACTATCATGTTGTGATGATACTGCAGAGCACTCTTGGAGCCAGTTGTCAAATCTTTGAGTAATACAACTTCCTACTTAAAAGATCTACTGACACAGCCTACAGGAAACCTTTTTAGTTTGGAGGGAAGCCAGGCAGACGGGAGGTAGTAAAAGCACTGATGAAACCAATATTTTCTCTCTCACTGATGACTAAGGCGGTAAAGTAATGCATTAAAGGTGCATTATTGTTGTATGTGACTGACGCCTGATGCTGCAGCATGTAAAGAGCAAACAAAGAGCTAAATTACCTCCTGATTTTACTGCTAATGCCAGAAAGAATATATGTGCAGTCAGCCCAAATCGAGATGCATTAAGCAGTTTTAATGGATAATTGAGTTCATTTTGCTTCAAGTGTTTGTTCTTCACTGACAGATGGGTGCCTTAAGGCCATTTTGGACCAACTAGTTTATCATCAATAACACATGAGTTCTGATGGGCCAGTGATTCCTCTGGGGTGGATCCAAAATCAACTATGCATCCCTTCTTGATAATACTCTCGCTCCGTCTCTTGCACTCTATCCTTCACTGAACCCCTAAAATGGTCACTTTGCATTCCTAAAACCATCATGAGTAAAGTATTTCCCTTGAAACAAGCAAGCCAGATTTCATTGTAAAAGATATTTAAAATAAAAAGATAAATAAAAATATCTCACCTCTGTTACTCTCAATCATTTCTTCTTGGGCAAGAGGACAGTCACCCCCCATGCCTCCAGACCCCATCACTCCACCAAGGACATTTCCCAAGAGCCTTTGCGGTGATGCAGTCGCCATAGCCAGGGCATCTGGTTTGCAGTAGTTGGGGGACCCTGGTTGTGGTGCTCTTGGGATATGTTTGTTCTTCTTTTTGGGCAGCTTTTGTTTTGCCATAGCCAGAGAGTAGTACATGCCAAAGTTGTTGACAATAACAGGCACAGGCATGGCAATGGTCAGCACACCAGCCAAGGCACACAGGGCGCCCACCAGCATCCCTGACCACGTCTCCGGGTACATATCTCCATAGCCCAGCGTGGTCATGGTCACAACGGCCCACCAAAACCCAATGGGAATGTTCTTGAAGGCGGTGTGGGCGCAGGCAGTTGGGTCGTTTGGGTCTGCGCCAATCCGCTCAGCGTAGTAGATCATCGTGGCGAAGATGAGGACACCGAGGGCTAAGAAGATGATCAGCAGGAGGAACTCGTTGGTGCTGGCGCGCAGGGTGTGGCCCAGGACACGGAGACCCACAAAGTGGCGGGTCAGCTTGAAGATTCGGAGGATTCGGACAAACCTGACGACGCGGAGGAACCCCAGGACATCCTTGGCAGCTTTGGAGGACAGACCGCTCAGGCCCACCTCCAGATAGAAAGGCAGGATGGCGATGAAATCGATGATGTTGAGGCTGCTCTTGAAGAACTCAAGCTTGTCAGGGCAGAAGGTGACTCGCAGAATGACCTCAATGGTGAACCAGATGACGCACACGCCCTCCACGTATGTCAACCAGCTGTCGGTCACCACCTCGTATACAATCTCCTCCGTGGTTATGTTGCCCACCGTGACGTTCTCCGTCTTCCTCAGGATGGTGTTGAAGGCCTCATGTGTCTCCATGCAGAAAGTGGAGATGGAGATGAGGATGAAGAACAGGGAGCCAAATGCCACATACTGGAAGAAATAAAGAAATCAGCAAAAAAAATGAAATGATAGGAAGAGAAAGCAGAAAAAGGGAAGCAAGCAGAAGGGGAAAGAGTCAGTTGCAAATCAAGAACATTTGGCAAGGCAAAGAGGATATAGAGAAGCATAGACAAAAATACCTAAAGACAACAGCAGAGACAAACAACTAGTGGACCCTCCTACAGACACACATGCTACATTCTATACTATTTACAGAAAACTACTATTTCTCATGTTGTAATGGTCATCTATGTTGAGGTCTTCCCAAAACTTTACACCCATTCTTGATTTTTTACCAACCACAGGGCATGCAGATTTGCCCTGAAAAGGACCTTGGCATAATTTAACCCATTGTGATCAAAGTCCAAAGATAATCAGACTAATTCAGCCTGATCAAATTATATCTGACAGTCATAAATGATTGTGATGTAGGATGAAGCTATGAAAATAGATGTGCTGTCAGTCTAATGTCGCATCGTGTGCCATGTGAAATTATTATAAATGAATCCAATTATTAATAGTACTATGTGTATCATTCTAAAGTGATCAACTTATTCTCATATTAGCATACTCTGGAAATATAAATAAACATGCCACATACTGTACTGTTGGGTTAATAATTAGAGCACTGACCCCTATTAAAGAAAATGGTCTGACCCGAAAATGTAGGGTCTCAGCTCAGATTTCTAAGGCAATAAAGATGTTTTAAACATGAAATAGGAAGAAAAATGCTTAACAAAAGGAGAGAACATCGCAATGAATTAATGTTAATCCTGAATCCAAAACAGAAAATAAAAAATGGGTTTATAAATTAATAGAATGATACTACTAACTTATCTGTGGTACTCTGCTAGAGAGGACACAGGAGAAGATGGAGGGATGACAAGGGGGAGAAACCTGTTAGGATAGGATCAATGAATAACTGATAATGTGTGTGCTATAGTATAGTAAACACATACCACACAACAATCCCAGAGCACACTGTGTGGTCCATGTTGTAAAAGGAATTGTGCGAAGGTAGGAGACATTCATAAAACGTACATGTGTTTCCAGTCTTATAGTACGATGTCAAACCCTTGAACTATGCAGGTTATTTGAATATTAAGAAAAACGTGTACGACGTTGTCGTTTTACTACATGCAGTTTCTCCTCCTGCCCCTCCCCTTCATTGATGGTCTGAGTAGCATTTTATTTTCTGAAATGTGTTGATTTTCCTCCTGATAATCTGAAATGTGGGGTTTAGCAAAATACATTTAAACAACGTTTCATGTTTGAAAGTCATGATTAATCCAAACAAATTGAGGCATTACATCTATATAACTGCATAAATAAATAATCTATCCACCTCCTTTTTTTTGCAATCGTAGGAGTAATTTCATTAATGTGGTTAGGAGATCAAAAATGTTGTGTGAAAGCTTTGAAATATCTTCATTGTAAATTGTAAAGCTTATGCTGCCTTCGCTAATGTTATTGTAACCGAAAAAACGTAACAAATAATATTGAAGGTCCTGTTTCAGACTCAATGTTTTAATTGGGATGCCTCTAACCCCCTCCATATAGTAGGAGTATGGTTTTAGTAAATCTTCTACAAGTGGCATCAATTTGATACTATGTCTTACAGCTATATGTTCGCTTATCTACTTTAAAAAGCCTCTCCTCGGTGGTAAATCATCGGGACAGAGTACAACAAAATAAGCTGTTGTATTCAAAATGACTTTCAGGTTTGTTGGCTTGTTCAGCGCTCAAAGACAATTTTCCTTAGCATTGACCATCAGTGTGATCTTTCCCAGGTTATTATTCTACCGTAGCCCCTTTAATCTCATGAGAGCAGTTTGATAACACCAGTGTGTGTGTGAAAACAGCACAATTTCTCCATCTGTTACAAGCCCTGCAGTGTATTTATAGAAGCATAACTTTGAGCTTTATCAAATGAATAATAAAACAGACATGGCCTGAAGAGCAAAAGAGAAAGGTAATTCAGACTTGAGTGGCGCCCATATATAAGAAGCCTGAGTGCCTTCAGTGTATAATGCATGTCAATGTGTATTTTCGACATTATGCACTTATGTAATATCAAACGCAACATACTTAAAGCCTTAAACTAAGCAAATGAAACAGTTTAGGTTATTTTTTCTGAAGAAGGTCTTGCTTTTCTTTCTCTCAGCTTTCCTTTGAGTTGAAAATTGGATGAGAGCCATGCACATTTGTTTTCCAAGTGCCTTCATGACAGAAATGGACTAAGTAGAAGACTCTGAGGCGCTGCATTTATTAAGGAGATTAGCTGACGAGCGTTTAGCCAAAGAAGTGACCTTCCAGGAAAGTCAGTGGTGTAGCCTAAGTCAATATCCAATGTATAAACGTATAGGTTATTTTAGTATCTATATAAGGTGCAATTAAATCACAAAAATTGCAACATCTTTTCAAGGATTACCTCTGTAAACCGGACAGTTTGAAAACGTACATTATCAGGTTGCTCCAGTTTTTTCCTTTACCCTCAAAGACCCCAAATTGATCTCGCCTTTTTTCCTGTCCTTTTCTGTCTACGTTATGTAGACACTAGATGGTGTCTGACCTACTTTGTCAGACTGCAGAGCTATTCCCCTCTGTATCATGAACACACACAGACTGAGGTTCTTAATCACCCTCCTCCTTCCACCCCTATACCAGCCCCCGGTCCTGGGGAAGCAGGAAAGCCCCGGTGGGACCTGCTCTGGATGCCCCCTAACTCGCTAAACTCAGACAACCTTCAGATGTACAAATCAGAGCATGGAGGAGAGTTTTTCCCTGAAGTAATACGCACTTATTTTTCCTACAGTTGCTTTTATTCCTTACAACCACATTAATAAAGGATAATCTCAAGATTAGCAGCACGCTTACGAAGTGATGAAATGGAGAAATATCCCCAAAGTGAGTTTTTGAATGCTTTTTTAGACCTTCACTGTGGATAAAAACACAAGTGGCAGAACTGCAGTGGCATCTTATCTTATCTAAGTAGGCTACACAGGTGGAGACACAGGAGGGGGTGGACAGGTGGGAGGGACACCAGACGATGCGGATCGTAGAGAAGCATAAAGGAAAAAGTTGAAGCAATCCACCAGAAAGGACAGAGCGCGATGAAAGTCAGAGGAGGTGAGGGCCGAAAGACAAAATCTGGAGCATAATTCAAACAGGGAGAATAACTTTTACTAAGGTGAATCACCGTTCTGATAATCCTATAGTGATGTGGCTGTCACGCAAAGACAGCAACAACAGAATACATATTGATAAGAATGAGACAAACTAAAACAACTATCAGGAGACTAATCAGTCTATCAGGAGGCTAATAGGATATGACAGGCCTTATAAGTAACTTCTGTCAACAAAGAGGGCATAGGAAGTACTTTGTGTATTCTCCTTACATATAATACATTTTAAGAACCACAGTACATTGAAAGGAATACATATGACTCAAAGCTACAGTTAGTAAGATGTGCTATAATATCAAATATATCCATTTAATAACAAGTATGGAATCGTGGGAAAATGTCCCCTTTATCCTGGCCAAAATCATTTGATTTTATCCTAAGTGGACTAAAATAAATAGATGCGCTCAAAATAATATATTCGCAAACAAATCAAATTCATATGTAGTTCAGCCTAGTGTTCATAAGGCTCATCTAAAACTCAAAACATCTTGGCAGGTCTGTTTTGAATGTTTGCCATCTGATAAATCTATGTGGGGTCATGAGAAAGCTCTATGTAATGTAAAGTAAAGATTAATCTAAGGGAAGGCTTTGACTATATTTCACCTAGACGATTGTATCATTTAAATAAACACAGATACATTTCCACAACAATTAGCCCTGATCTATTATTTTTCACTAAATGAACATACTCCCCACACTGAAAGCATTCTTCTCTTGTCTGGCTGGTAAAGTATGATGAGCGAACACACAAGAGATTTGTGATGAAACCGCCAAGCCTCCTCTGATTTGCAGATCGGCCCTCGTTCTCTAAATTACACTTTGGTGTCAGGTGGGAACTCTGGTGGGAAATCCTTAACACACAGGAAATAACACACATCTGTATGTCAACCTCACAGCCTGAGACTGAAACAGTAAACTCCTCAACGACAGTTAGACTGAAAGATTGACTCACCAATGACAGCGTACCTTTTTAACGGAAATAAATACAGGTCTTAAAGGGCACAAATCAACACTAGGGTTGCACTTAACATCATGCTAAGTGAAACTTTAACCTAACGTACTGTACTATAATTCCATTACTTTGACCACGCTGTACAATACAATACTGCCAGTGATGAAACAAAGGTTCATTCATGGTTTCAGTAATTAAATGATGCAGTAGTTCACAATGGCAGAGCACAGTTGATTGCACATCGAATCAATATTGATCAATGCAACACAGCAGCCAGTCCTTTTTAAATATGCAGCAGCATGTCAAGCAGTGTGATCAGGAAGCACCCCCCCCCCACACACTGCTAAGAAATGTAACCTTAAGCCACACATCAAGTGTAGATGAGTGTTGTGTGTGTGTGTGTGTGTGTGTGTGTGTGTGTGTGTGTGTGTGTGTGTGTGTGTGTGTGTGTGTTGTGTGTGTGTGTGTGTGTGGTGTGTGTGTGTGTGTGTATGTGTGTGTGTGTGTGTGTGTGTGTGTGTGTGTGTGTGTGTGTGTGTGTGTGTGTGTGTGTGTGGACATGACTCACAATGTGAGACAAACAGCCTATGGGCACAGGAGGTGTGTGTGCGCACGCTTGCTGATCTCAGATAGTGAGAGGTAACTACATGAGCACTGCATTGGGGTGATGGAGAGGGATGAGTGGAGACACAAAGGGAAATATAGAGGTAGAGTAAGATGATAAAAGGAGGAGTAGCAATCTGTCACTTCACACTTATTTATCTCCTCGGGCCCTTTGTGTCTGTTCTCTCCCTCCATCACTCTCCTCGCTGCGACATGAAGGTATGCATGTGGACGGTCGTATGAATATATGA